CGTGCCGCAATGGAAGCCTCTTCACCATTGGCGGCGCTGCATCGCCCGATCCCTGTTCCTTCGTGGGGTGGTCAGGACATCTTCCGTTCGCACACGCACTCGCACTTTGCTGCAGCCTCGACAAGCTCCATGAGTCTGCGGGAACAGCTGCACAAGAATCCTGCCGATTACTTCAATGCCAAGGATCTACGCGGTTCGTCGCCTGCTGCTAGCCTCGCCGCAGATCTGTCACAAAACTTCAGGATTGATAATGAAGCTAGGTTCGTCGTCCTCGAACTATGTCAGCCAATTCTTCTTGCGACAATGCTAACTTTGTCGGCCCCATGCAGTCCTCATTTCCCAACTCCTCGAAGGGCCCTGTTCACAGCCAATGTGATGGGCGGCCTGGAGTCTCGTGGTATGTCAACAATGGCTCCAACGAGGCTGTAGTTGTTCGATGCTAATCCCGTCCTGCCCAGCCTTCTCGACGACGCCTCCTCTGCCCCCTTCGTCGCCTGCACACCTCACCGAGATCATGGAGGTCTCTCCTCTGCCTCACAAGGTACCCTTTGGTTCGCAGAAGGCAATCTCATCACCTACACCCAACTACACCCCGTCGGATAACGATGTAGACGAGGAGATGATGCTGGATTCACCGGCTCCCATTGCCCGAAAGTCATCGTCAGAGGGTATCCGACTCGGTATGGCTGAGTAAGTATCTCGAGGAGACAATGAAGGCGTCGTTTTTGTTCTTTTGCTTACAAGCATTACAGGCGTAAGATCTCCGTTCCTCGTCGTCCCTCGATGTCGCGGATGAAGAACTTCACTACCAGTGCTCTACCTGGTCGCCCCTATGCTGATAGCCAACTCCCAGCTTTTGTTTTTGGTGGAAACTCTCCATGGAGCCAGTCAAGCTCAACTCTGTCTCTGGGTGAATGCTTTGACTCACCATCACCGCCTCAAGCTCAAGAGAAGCGACCGCACTCGGCGAACAGCCCATGCGCTCCAATCCATCTGGGCATTCGCCCGCGTGCACACCTCACTGGCCTGGGTGTCTTTCGTCACGCTTCCCCGTCAAATTGTCATTCACGCCGTCAGTCAAATCCCTTTTTGCGAAACCGGAAGCAGGTCCGGCGATCATTGAGTATGTTTGAGCACCCTGGCGACGTGATGAAGTCAAAGTCGGATGACGAGGAGACTTCACCAACCACACTGCAAGCCGTTATGGATATCGAGGAAGCACATGAGCCTGTCCTTCCCTACTTTCTTCCTGACGACCCCACAGATACCATTCCTAGAATTTCCAAGGAGACTCTGTTGCAAGTTTTGGATGGCAAGTACGCGGAACACTTTGACCAGAAGATGATCATCGATTGCCGTTTCGAATACGAGTATGAGGGTGGCCACATTGATGGTGCTGTTAACCATAATGACAAGGATCTTTTGGCTACCCAGCTCTTCAAAACCCCTATGAACGGTAGATCTCTTCTTGTGTTTCACTGCGAGTACTCTGCTCACCGTGCTCCTCTGATGGCCCGCCATATCCGGGCTGAGGACCGAACTGCCAATGCTGAGTTTTACCCCAGACTCACATACCCCGAAGTATATATTCTTGATGGAGGTTACAGCGCCTTCTTCGAAGGGTTTAGGGGTCGCTGCTATCCTCCTGAATACGTTGAGATGTCCGACGAGAAGCATCAGCGCACATGTGAACGCGAAATGGGCCGGCTCAAGGCCCGTAAAGGCTTCAGCCGTGCCCAGACTTTTGCTTTCGGCCAAAGGGAACATTGTGTTGACGAGTCACCAACAGCTCCTGGCAGGCCCAATTCTCGGAGCACACACCTCAGTATCATTGGCCAGTCACCAATTCTCGGTGATCGATCAGTGCATACACGTCGGATGGCTTCATATTAATGACTGTTACGAGACACTCATCATTCCCACCCCATGTTACCATGACACACGATCATGTGGGTGGACTAACGTCTGAATGATTTATCAGAATCCAATATGCCTCGAGCAACGTGAGCTCGAGGCTTCAAGGGTCTTTGATGTTTAACCAATAATGTTTACCATACAACGCATCACTGTCATGTTTTAAATGCAACGCCGCTAGGAGCAAACCTACCTATGATGCTTCTTCGGCCTATTGACCGGCTTCTCCTCTGGTCAACACTAATCAAGCCTAATACTGGTCTGATTTAGTCTATACACAACTCCTCCTGGATTGAGAGACGTTGTTATCTCGAAGGCTGTCAGCAACAAGCATCATATTAATGATGACCGCTTCGAACAAGCTCTTGGGACTGCTTTCCCATGATACATACACACTATAACATCCGCCACCGGATACTTCCCAACACATGCATATAATTGTGTTTATACCCCATCCATGACGGATCGTTTTTTCCCTTTCCTTACTTTTCCTTTTTCTCTTTGTTCATACTTTCACCGGGTGGAAATACCCCTTCTCGGCTTGCCTATCCTGCGCCGATGTCTTGTAGATGGTGTGGTCGTGTTACTGTTTGTAGGAGTAGCTGCAGTTGTTGCGCATTCGGATTGCCTGGCTTCCAGATTGCTAGTTGTACATTTGGCATGTCACGTTTGGGAATCTCCTGGCCTGGCCATACACTACCAGAAGAGAAAACAAAAGAAAGAACCAAGACAAATAAAAAAAAGTTAAAATTTTAAAATTTCAGTTCAACTCTTCGTTAATGATGATAATGATTTGAAAACCAGCGTCCGTCTGGGGACCCCAAGGCAGTTGATTGCATATGTATATCACTCAACCAGCAGCCTTCATCTAACTTCCATTTAGGACGATGATATATCGCTATCTAATATCGGCTGTGCAAAGCTTTCTCTACTCCCAGCACCGCTTTTGAATTGCTAAACTGAAAATCCCAAGAATTAATCCCATTTGATTGATTGATACTCATCTATTGCTGATTCGTTGCAATGCTGCTATTCCCAACCTGTCTTATTCACTCTTCCAGTGTAAAATCCCATTCCTGAAATGCCGCTCGGAACGCCTCGACGTCTGCCGTCTCCTCTTCAACGCTCTGCTCGCAATCCTGCCAGATGACTCTGTCTTCGAGGCCCATGAGCTTCGAAAGAACACGCCTCGGGAATTGGAGATCGAAGCGCTGGTCGGGGGAGAGCGGCATGACGAGGGTCTTGCCCTTAATCTTGTCCTCGCCATTGTCGGCCCACAGCCAGACGCGGAAGAAGCCGTCGTAGTTGGCTTCCTCCTCCAGGGTCAGCTCTTTCGAGGAAAAGGCGGGGAGCTCCTGGTTCTCCGCCTCAACCTTGAAGGCCGCCTCGACCAGACCCTTTTGAATCAGGGCCGCGGACACGGGCAGGAGCTGCCAGTGTAGGTGGATGTTGCGGCCGCGGCTGATTTCCCAAGTGACTACCCCAAGCTTGTGGTCGGATTTTGATGATACCATGGCCTGGATGGACTCGCGGAAGCGGGTCATCTCGTTATATGTCTTGACAGCATCGCCTGAGGGATCTTTGACGTCGCCGATGCTGGGAATGGTTGGAGCATGAGGCAAGGGGATGATCAGGAGGTGGCCAGGGAAATTAAGACCCTGATCAGCAAAGGTTTTGGACGTAGGGAGGGGCCCCTTTGCAATTGTGATGTAGGCATCGTTGCCAATGGATGAGCACATGTGTGTTGCCAAATTGGGATTTGAAAGGCAGAAGAAACACCTGTCTGGTCCTGGCGGGGGAGAGGCGCGGCGCCTCTTATTTCTTCGCCCGTGATGAGCACCGTCATTGTGGCCGCGGTCAAAACGGTTGTAGCTATCATGGTCTCCGCCTCGTTTCTTCGGTTTCTCTATAAATGGAGAGGCGGTGATGCCGGGAGGGAGTGAAGTGTCAGCCTTGTTTAGCGTAAAGGCATATATGGCTTTGGCTTTCACTTCGTTTCCAAATGGAGCCATTGAAATGAACCTCGTCACTGCCTTACTGTCGGGTTCTTTTTCTGAGGGATGTATAAATGGCTCCCTCTCGTAAAAGAACGCGCTGGGGGAGGCTGTGAGGTGGTATCGCGGTTTTAGAGCAGCACATAGCTCTGCGATCGACTCTGTGCTTGCGATAGCTGCTTGCTGAGCGGGTTCGAGGGCCGTTTTCGACCCCTTCCCGATATTGGAAGGCCATACGGATGTTATCAGAATATCGGCGCTGTTTGCGCCGCGCAGGCTCTTGGCATCGTCTACCGTATGGAATGGAAGGTGCTGTTCCTTGGACTGGCCGCCTACCAGGTTGGGGTCAAGCTGGCCCCCGAGAGCTGCAATTCGGATACCATCTGAGGTCTTCGTAACACTTCGCTTTCCCAGAAAGTGTAGGTTGGTGCATATTTCCTCGTTGGCTTCTATCTTCTCTGCAATTCGTTGAGGAAGGGGATGGGCCCCTATGGTGAAGTACGTCGGTAGAGGGACCTGGAAGGTCTCGTTGATCAATGAGTCCAAAGTCGAGTCGTCGGTTTCAGGTGTGAAGACATCTCCGGTTAAGATGGCCAAAGTGAAATTGTTTTTCGCGTGGAGTGTTGCGAGCTTCTGCAATGCTGGTTCCAGGGCGCCGCTGAGGCTGCCTAGTACTATTCTGTGATTACAGATTAGCTCTCTACTAATTGAAAGGTGCGCTCAGAGGGGCCGCTGTATTCTTACATCTTTGGAGCAGCCATCTGGCCTCTATTTTAATGTGGAAGTATAGAGACAGAGGCCTGTGTAGAGGGAGGAGCGCGGATGAACGAATGTATCGGGATGTGTTTTGTAAGACTTTCTACATCGGGAGTTGCATCATGAGAGAAGAAGATGAAAGATAAGAGTTTGCGATGAGGTGGTGATTGGCGTGTTCACCAGGATAAATGGGTCCAGAGCTTTATCAGTTTTGCCGATTATCCGCCGACCAAAAAAGTTGGAAATTTTGGCGGGGACCTGGAGCGACATTGGAATTTTGTGAAGCCTCTCGTTCATCAGTAACCATTTCTGCACGAACGAGTGCAAACCGCCACGATGCCGTCAAAAGTCACGGGACGCATCGTGAAGGCGAGGAAGTATTATTCCACCCCCCACAATAAGAATCACAGATGGGAAACCTTTACCGCAAAGATCGCCAAGTTCAATTCTTTGCAGCCTCTTCGAAAAGTTCGACGACACGATCTCGACACCGAAGACTTTGCCTCCGCGACCTCATACTTTGCCAATGGAATGCAAAGATGGAACGAGCTCAATGTATCGAAGGTGTTTGTCAATTTCAAACGACAGGTGCTCCCGTTGTGCGAGAGTTTGGCCCAGATCGTGCACTTCGAGGACCGTATCATGGAACTGCTCGCTGAGCACATATCGAAACAGGACAAGGAATCACTCGAGCCTTTACTGGATCTTTTGACGGCCTTCGCTCATGATCTGGGGGCGAGATTCGAGAAACACTACGCCCAAAGTCTTTCACTTATCGTAGCAGTCGCTGGAAGGCCGCAGGATGTCGAGGTCATTGAGTGGACATTTGGAGCTCTTGCTTTCCTGTTCAAGTACCTTTCGAAGCTTATCGTTCCAAACATACAGCCCACATTCGATATAATAGCACCGTTGTTGGGAAGATCCAAGCACCCTCCTCATATTGCACGGTTTGCTGCCGAAGCAGTGAGCTTCTTAGTGAAGAAGGCTGGCGCCCCGTCGCACCGTGAGACCGCGTTACCAAAGTTTGTCGACCATGTCAAACTGGATTTGTTCAAGATGGCCGAAGATCGGCAGTACACACTGTACAAGGATGGTATCATGACCATGTTTGCCGAGGCGATCAAGGGCGCCGAGAATTCTATCCACACATCAGCCCCTGCGATTGTTACTCAGCTTATTGATGCCATCCCTGAGAGCCTCGATGATCACGAGGACCGCACTTCGGCTTCGACGCAAGAGATTTGGACGGATGTCGTCTGTGGCGTACTGACCAGCGCTATCCACCACTCCACCCCGGACACATTTGGAGAGCTGGCCGATACAACGCTCGACAAGATTATCTCTTATGCAGGAGATCAAAATTCCACGGGGAAGTGGTGGAGATTTATTCCTTTCTTCAGGGTTGTCGGTGTCATCGGAGGTGTTCGAAGAGGTTCTAGGATTACCAATTGGCCAAAACTTATAAGCACAATCACTCAGATGCTTGACAGGATTGCTAAGGAACGGGAGGAATCATATCCCGACGATCAGGAAAATATCTGGAAGCACTTGATGGTCCCTATAGCTATTGTTTGGCACCATATTCCTATCGATGCTCTCCTGGCACACCACGGCGCGTTGGTCCAATCATTGACAAAGGGCTCCTTGATGGGGTGGTTTATCCCATTCTGTTCCTATGCATGCGAACTTGATCCTAGTAGGTTCAGCAATCTACTTAGAAGCGATTTTCAGAAGTAAGTTTTTTTTCAACGGCTGTGGCTGCTGCTGGTTGAAATGTTAACGTTGGATAGGTTCATTCTCACACATTGGTCCCAGAGGGACAATGAGGAAATGCTTTGCGTGCTTCTCCCAATGATGATTCAGAAGCAAGCCTTTCCTCCCCCAGGAGAACGTGAAAGCTGTAGGCTTCCACAGGCATGGCAAGATCAGATCGTCTCTAAATTTGAGAACCTGGAGATTTCCCCTTTTCCCGAGAGAGGACCATATAACAAGGACCCTCAAGTTTGGAGAGATCGTTGCTTGCCCAAGTATTCTGCTCTTCTCCAATTGCTTGACCTGACTACAGTTCACCCATCCACCAATGCCAGAATTTCCGAGTTGCTGCTTCGGAAGCTGAAGTTGGCTCTCCGACCTTCTTCTACTCTTGCCTCAGATGAAGTCCACTTCATCGTGAGCCAAGGGTTTCACGCATACCTCCGAATGGGCAAGGTGGGCTCGTCAATTGATCCTGGCTTACGTCCTTTGCTGCGAGCTGCAGTGCCTCGTTTTGCCAGATCTGTTGGTTTCCTTGAGGCATACATGGCGTACGTTGAATACCTGCAGGAGACTGGGGATTCCTCGGACAATGAGGCGACCTCCAGCGAAGATCTGGATTCCAAGCAAGACCCCGTCCTCACCTCTCTGGTTGAGAACCTTAGCTCACCAAGCCATGATATTCGTTTGGTGTCTCTCAAACTCTTGAAACATCTGAGCGAGCTTGGAGACGATGAGATTCTGGATACCATGATCGAGATAGAGCAGTTGCCGTTGGGATTGGAGCACACCAGGACAATTTCCATGCTACTGCGCAAGCTGGGACAGGGTTACTCTTCAGTGGGCAATGACAGCTGGCTCTTGCACGGAATACCAAACTTCACTTTTGGCATGCTGACAGTGAAGCTATCGCCCGTCTGGGACGATGCTACGGAGACATTGAAGCAAATTTCCCAGACTAAGGCTGGAGAGGAGGTAGTACGTGCCATCGCTTTTCAATGGCTAGACGTCCCGTCGCCAAAATGGAGCTCGCCCTCAAATGACAACCACCTGAGCAATCGGCGTATCATTACCGACTTTGATTGTACACACCTCCAGAATCTGAATAGGCGGGCAACGAGTCTTCATGGTACCATCTTCAACCCACAAGATCGTATGCTGCAGCAGTTTGACGAAAGGCAAAGCACCTCGGATTTGACCCTGGAAAATGCACGATCACGAGGTTTGAAGGTTTTCAATGCCATCCCTTTCATTGCTGAGAGACGATCCCGACTGATAGTCCCTCACTTTCTTTCATGGGCCTATGAGGACACAGACCCCGCAGCCATTGAAGACGGCGAAGAAGCGCATCACTCACATTGGTCTCTGGCAGACAGGAAAGCGTTGCTTGGTGTCTTCTCCCAGTTTCTCAACCCCAAGTCGCTGTTCCAACATGAGAAAGTTTACCTCGCTCTCCTGCAGTTGATGGAAAACGGAGACGCAGAGGTGCAGAAGATGACCTTGAAAGCTATCCTCAGCTGGAAACAAGAAGGAATAAAGACATACCAAGAGAACCTTGAGTTTCTTCTTGACGATGCTCGATTCAAAAACGAGCTCACAGTTTTTCTCCAGGGCGAAGACATCATCAAGCCAGAGCATCGCAGTGAGTTGATGCCTGTCCTTCTGCGGCTTCTCTATGGTCGGACTATCTCGAAGAAGGGTGCGGCCAGCGGTAAGCATGGCCTTCAGGCAACGCGTCTGGCTGTTCTACGAAACCTCTCTGTGAAAGACATGGGTGATTTCTTGGATATCGCAGCCGGAAAACTTGGGGCTGTCAAAGTTTTAGACCCTAAAAAGTCAAGATCCAAACTTTTCGAAACGGCGCTTATCCATCCAAGGAAGCAAGTCGGTTTCCTCAATATGGCATCTTCCTTAATTTCCGAGCTGGGGACCAATGTCTCCCAGTATATGGAAGCCATCCTCAATGCCGTATTGTACTGCGTTATCTTTTCGTCTAGACAACTCCACGGCGCTTCTTTGGATGTTGAAGATGAGGCGGAAGCAAAGGAAGATGTGGCCAGCACTCAGTCTCTCCTGAGAATCACAAGGTCTACAGGTCTAAAATGCTTGAACCTCCTATTCCAAAATGCTCAGGATTTCCAGTGGTCTGTCTATCATGATATCATCATCGAGGAGATCATTGCCCCTCGACTTGAGAATATGCCAGCTGAGACGACACAAGGCGTCTCAGGTGTCTTGCAGCTACTGTCGACTTGGTCTGTACTGCCAAAGGTGGCACTCTTCCTTGGTCCGCATGGCGATTCTGTTCCAAATGGTGTCCTTCCTCAGGTTATTGCTTGCCTTGGAGTCGAGAAGGCCAAAGACGAGGTCAGGACATTCATTCTCGGCATGATTCGCAACCTGGTCCGGCTCTCCCTGCTCCCCGCTCAGGAGTCTGAGTTCAATGAGTTGATTAAGTCTGAGTTGATTGACGCAAATTCTAATCAAATCCTGCCCATCATCACCCAAATATTAGAGGCCCCTACAACAAGTACCGAGCTTCTCGATGCTTGCGTGGAGACAATGTTGTCATTAGCCCAGGTTCTTCAGGAATCCAGTGCTGTGCCCCCAGTTCTCCGGATTGCATCCTTTCTACTCCAACAGCCCCCTCGAAGAGTAAGTCCTAGGACCAAGGGAAGGGTACTTCTGGTTGTGGAGAACTTCATCGCCCTCATCGAACCGGGCCAACATCATGATCTTTGCGATGAAATGTACGGCACCTTGTCCTCGCTATTCGGCTATTTCAAGGATAGAGAGAACCGGCAAGCGCTCTGCCGTGTCATCACGCTAATGTCAGACGGAGACGATGGTAAACTCGCCGTTGCCAAGATATGCACTGATCTCAACACTTTCAAAGAAGGACGGATCGATGAGCCAGATTATGACCGAAGGCTGTCTGGATTCAACGCCATTGCGAAGGGTAGGGAGACCCCTTTCACACCCCAACAATGGCTACCACTATTGCACAATGCCATCTTCTTCATCCAGATGGACGAAGAATTCGGTCTCCTATCAACGAACTCTGCAGATGTTTTGCGTCGTATGGTTCATGAGGCACAGAATGCAAATTCCGAATCTGCCCGATCTAAGATGCAGGAATACATGAACGGGATTTTGATGCCAGCTATCTACGCTGGGGCCAGAGAATCATCCGAGACTGTCCGTCGCGAGTATCTTCGTGTTCTCGGCTTCATTTTGTGCGCCATGCCTGGCTGGGGCCCAGTCAAGGATTTAGTTGGGTTGTTGGATGAAAAAGCGGAAGATTCGGCGGAGCCCATGTTCTTCTTTAACATCCTGAGCCCTGCCACCTCGAGGCAACTCGAAGCCCTGGGGACGCTAGATGCAGCAAACCAGTCTAGTGAGATGAGCAGCCAGAACCTTGCGCAATTCTTCATCCCATTGCTTGAGCACTTCATCTATGGCCGTGAGAACGGGAGCGACGACCATGGCCTGGGCGCCCAAGCTACCACTGTGATTGGCAGCTTGGCTTCATCTCTTCACTGGAAGCATTACCGAACTACATTGCAGCGCTACATTGGATATATTGCTTCAAAGCCTGATTTCCAGAAGCAGACAATCCGCCTCCTCGGAAAGGTCATCGATGCGCTCATCCTGTCGAAGAAGAGTTCAACATCGGACACTATGGAGGTTGATCAAGGAGATGACGCTTCATCTCCTAACGTCAGACGATTAGTCCTCTCGATACCAAAGGAGGCCCAGTTGAGCACTGAGATTGTAGATACCCTTCTTCCGACCCTCGTTAAGCATCTTCACGAGAAGGATGAATCGGAAGTCAGCTTCCGAGTGCCTGTTGGTGTGACCATCGTGAAGCTGTTGACGCTCCTACCTCCAGAGCAGATGAGCCAGAAGCTGGCCGGGGTGCTGACTGATATCTGTCACATTCTCCGCAGTAAATCAGTAGAGGCCCGAGACATGGCCCGTGACACACTTGTGCAGATTGCCGTCATTCTAGGGCCGACCTTCTTCGGATTCATTCTCAAAGAATTGCGAGGAGCTCTGACCAAAGGTTATCAGCTACACGTTTTATCGTACACAATGCACTCCATCCTGGTTGCTGTTATTCCAGGCTTCGAGCCTGGTGATCTGGATTACTGCCTACCAACCATAGTTATGATTATCATGGATGATATTTTCGGTGTCATTGGCCAAGAAAAGGACGCTGAAGGCTACACTACCCAAACGAAGGAAATCAAGAGCAGCAAGAGTCAGGATTCCATGGAGCTAGTGGCGAAAACTGCGTCCATCACACATCTCATCCACCTTGTCAGACCCTTACAATCGTTGCTGATGCAAAAGGTTGACCTCAAAATCATCCGAAAAATCGATGTTCTTATGGCTCGGATCTCTGCGGGCCTGTTGCAAAACCCTGCCTCCAACAGCCGTAACACACTAGTATTCTGTTACGAAATGATCCAGAACGTCTACAAGAGCCACCAGCCAGAGGCAGAGCAAAAGTTGGATCCGAGAATTCGAAAATACCTGGTACAGAAGGGCGCCAAGAAGAGTGGCGAACGAGGCAGCACAACGAAGAACACATTCAAGATTATGCGCTTCGCGGTGGACATTCTTCGAGCAATGTTCAAGAAGCACGATGGACTGAGGACAGCCGAGAATCTCGTGGGATTTTTGCCTATTCTTGGTGACTGTGTGCTTGATGGAGAGGATGAAGTCAAAATCTCCACCTTTAGACTCGTGGCCGTCATTGTCAAGGTACCGTTTGCTGAGCAGGATGGAGCGAATCTCTACAAGGTTGCAGTCAAGGAAGCTATCAAGAGTGTCTCAACCTCATCGTCCACCACCTCAGATCTCTCACAAGCGGCTCTGAAGATGCTTGCTGTTATTCTTAGGGATAGGAAGGATATAGCTGTTAAAGACGCTGCCGTGGACTTGCTGTTAGGCAAGCTCAAGGACGACCTTACCGAACCACTGTATCGACATGTCACCTTCAACTTTGTTCGATCTGTGCTGGATCGTCGTATAGAAACTGCTGTCGTTTACGACACGCTGGACTATATCGGAATTGTCATGATTACTAACGACGACAAGGATACGAGAGATCTTGCTCGCGGTGCCTTTTTCCAGTTTATTCGCGAGTATCCTCAGAAGAAGGCCCGCTGGGCGAAACAGCTCAGCTTTGTTGTTGCAAATCTCAAGTACAACCGCGAAGGTGGTCGTTTGTCTGTCATGGAGGTTATTCATCTGCTTCTTCTCAAATCATCTGACGATTTTGTTCAAGAAGTGGCCGCCACCTGCTTCTTGCCTCTCTTCTTTGTTCTGGCGAACGACGACAGCGAAAAGTGTCGTCTTGCAGCTGGCGAGCTCCTTAAGGAGGTGTTCAGAAGGGCCGACAAGGAGCGAACGCAGAGTTTTCTCACCTTGCTGCGAACGTGGCTGGACAAGGACGAGGCGGTTCTGCGACTGGCGCTTCAGATCTGGGCACACTATTTCGAATCCAACGAGAATTCCTCCAAGAACCGGAAGGATTTCAAGCTGGTACTGAACAAGGTATCTGAAGTTTTGGGTGCAGAAAACCTTGTTGATGTGGATGGCGATCTTTTGGAGTCTACACTGGGCCTGGCCGGTGTTCTACTCGATGTCTTCCCCGAGAAGATCCTCAGCCCTGATCAAGACGAGTTGTGGACTTGCATCTCAGGTTGCATGGCCCACTCCCAGACCACAGTCAAGGTGTCGGCTATCAGATTGATATCTCGATACCTCGCCGATTTTGCCCAAGCCGGAGGTGCCGCGTCGCCTGGAGAACCAACCCCCGGCTCGTACGGTGCCGTCCTCGGGTTTGAGCGAGTTCAAGATACTGCTCGGCTTGCGCTCAACGTGCTCAACAGCCCTGGCGTCGACGAGTCTCTCGCAACTGAAGCTGGCCAAGTCTTGATTTTCCTGGGCCCTCGCCTGCCCACGCCCGCATCTTCAGTTGATCCTCTCAAGGACAACGAGGAGGCAGAGAACGAGAGTGAGGATGAGTCCACTGAGAAGCAGCCCAGGAAGAGGGACATCCAATACCTGTTCTGGCGATTGTCGGGTATCCTGCGAAAGGAGATACCTCCCAGAGCTGCTGCTGTTGTTCCCAAGACGGTCGCGATGGAAGTGCTGGAGACCATCTGCCGTCGCTCAGCCAAGGAGCGTCTTGAAACCTCGTTCAAGACTATTCTCGTTCCCTTGCACCATCTCACCGATCCCTCCATTCCTATGCCCGTATCCATGGATGAAGTGTTCAAAACAAAGCTTGAGCATCTCAAGAGCAGATCCCAGATCCTCATGGACGCCCTGCAGAAGAAGTTTGGCACCGCCGAGTACAGCCAGCAGCTGATGGAGATTAACGAAGCAGTCAAGGCGAGAAGACAGCAGCGATCCAGCAAGAGGAAGATTGAGGCCATCGCGCAACCCGAGAAGTACGGCAAGGACAAGCGCAAGAAGTTCGAGAAGAACAGAGACAGGAAGAAGGCTAGATCGACGGAACAGAAGGCAAAGAGGCAATCCTACAAGGGGTGGTGAGCGACGGATAGAACGCATTTCAACAAGACTTGGACTGAAGGCATTTGAGGGCGTTTTGGTGGGCTCAAAAGTTCCAGCACTTGGCATGATTCGGAGTTTTTTTTCTATTATTTGTTTACATACATAAAATTTTGAGATGGCCCAAACATTAGAATATTTCCATTCCCATATAAAAGTATATTTCCACCCTTGAAGCTTTTGGCCTCATAGACAAGCAATCCATTTTATTATACACGGTCCCGATGCTCTCTCTATATGAAGGGGATATACAAAATTCTCAAGCCTAGCGCCGTCTTTATGCATTTTTAATTGATCCTTCCCGCCCCTTTTTAAATGATACAATGTTGTACTGTATTGTAATGCAGTTATTCATACCGTCCGAGGGCGGTGCAAGAAGATGAAGTGCCATATCCTCCTTGAACACCACCGCGTTTTTGCTCGTCGTTTCATGAGAGTCTGGATCCAGACTGGCTGGAAGGGCCACCATCCTGGCCATCCTGAGACGCATCGTCCGGCCAGAACTCGATGTCGCCATCTTCGCCCAGGCTCCCACGCTTGACCAGCTGGCCCTTCTCGCGCATCAGGTCCTCGATGGTGATCTTCCGGTCGCCGAAGATGCCCAGGTGGTCGCTGATGACGTGGCGGTTCCGGCACTCTGGGCAGGTGATGAGGGTCGATCCCGTGTGGTACCCCTGCTTGGAGACGTTGTGGTGGGAGCGGTGTCCGCAGGGCACGCAGGTGAAGGAGAGCTGGTAGTAGGCGTTCTTGATGTCTGGGCGCGGGCCCTCGGAACTGGGTGCTTCGGCGTCTGGGTCGCGGGCTGGTTCGCGTGGTCGGACTGGAGGGGGCTTGGGGATGGAGTGTGCTGCGCGGATGATGGTCAAACGGGGGAGAGGGAGGTTTGCGCTCCGGAATCGGTGGGCTGAAGCGTTTTGTAGAGAGGAGGCCTTGTATGGGACTGGTTGGCGGAGAGTCCGCAGGAGAGGCGCGAGGGCCCTTGATGGTCTCGACGACATTTTTTACGTGGTAGTGGATTTTTATTGTTCGCTAGAGATTTGCCGTAGATTGGCGTGGCGGAGGACTGAATATTGGCAGTGTAGATGAAGGGAAGGTGGATTTTGCTATGGTTGCAGCCTCGAAACGATGTTGGATTAAAATCTGGGGACAAATGGTGGAGGGACGTCATTGGTCTCTGGCCTGTAAAGAGCTGCCACTAATCCCTGCTTGTCCCCCCAGCTGAGATGGTACATTGATGTATGTACTTAATAGCTCTGCCGAGTGATAAATACCTGTGCAACTATCATTGACGGAACATGAAAAAGAAGAGACATCGGTTATCCTTTTAATTTGCTATGCTACATGTAATTGATTTTACTAGAACTCTTCAAGCTCTTGAGGGTAGATTAGGTACTGGGCGGGAAAGTACGATTCCAAGAGATTCGCTTTTGATTGACTTGGGGTTTCAGGTACCGACTCCAACAATTCAGTTACCTCAGGAAAGAGCAGGATGAGAAAGTGCATGTCATTGGGTCATGTTCTATTTAGCAATTACCTATCTTTGGCGGGTGTTACTATAGACAGCAGGAGCAACTACGGAATCAAGCTGAAAATCATACCCAGACAGACCTACAATGGAAAGAGTGCGTCGGTCACTGCCATTGAAGAAGTTGCTACCAGAATGGAAGGAGACACCCGCGATCAGAAGCTCCATAACTCGCTTGGAGGCACCTCACCCAGCAGCGGTGTCGTTCCTGCTAGATTTGGGAGGAGCCAGAGCTGTGTATGTATAAAGAGGGAGAATAGAAATCTTGGGACTTGTTTCGAATTCTTCCCACAAACAACTGCAGCTCGCAATTCATATACAATCACAAAACCGAAAGCCAACAGATTCTATCCTTAGCAAATCCTATCCCACTACTCAACGTCTTCCTATTCTCGAATTTCCAGCCATGGCCCCACACTGGATCAAGCTGCTCTTGTCATTTCTTACCCTCTGGGGCCTCGCCATGGCCCAGAACAATGACCTGAACCAGGCCATTGGCATGATGAACCAAGCCCGCCAATCTCGAGGGCTCAAGCCTCTGCTTTGGAGCAATGACTTGGCCAACGGTGCTACTTTCTGGGCCCGTGAGATGGCCATTGGTGCTGCGGGTTTCGCGCATGCACCTGTGCAGTTCCGGCCCAACCAGGGCGAGACTCTCTATGAACGTCAGTCGGCAAGATGTGATGCTGCATACGACGCCCCACTCCAAGCAGCCGCAACGGCCTAGCTTGCTGAAGGCTCTCTTTGGAATGGCCAAGTCGTCTTCGACGGACGGGAGCAATGGTTGCACTGGTGTGAGTAAAATCAGATGGCGACTTGTCTGCACCTGCTCATGAATACTCCCCAGCTCAAATCATGTGGTCGACTACAACCCACATCGGATGCGCTCGGGCGTTTGGTATCTCGCAGCCTTACAAGGCTTTCGACGTCTGCAGATTCTGGCCAGAGGGGAACATGTACGTCTGCTAATATCCGATTCCTTACCTATCCTCAACCTTGAGCTGTTTGCTTTGTCTAACCTTGGACCCGCAGTCTTGGACAGAGGCCTTTTTAGCAGGCTAGAGGATCCATAAAATGTACCCCAGACTGAAGAAGCAGATCGGGGATTTGGGCGTTTGGAAGCCGAATCGGAAGGCTAATGGTCTATTCAGATTGGTAGTTTTTGGCCGAGAAAACATTTCTTATCTGTGTTGCAAGACGGCTGCATGCAATTCGAGTTGCGCGCAATGGGTTGTTAGGTACTAGTAGAACGTTACAAAATCATCGAGCTCCTGTTTGTTTTGTTAGACATCACTGCTGCACATCTGCTGTACCCATGTGCTAAGTCGTGCTGGAGGAGGAGTGGACCTGCCCCCTGCACGTCAAAGTCAAATAAGTAGAAGTGCCCCATTGCTTGATTACATAACATGTTCTGCAGGGTAGCTGTTAGGCGAGTGGGTCTAGGCCAGGTGCAAAAAACAGACTGAATCTCTCTCTGCGCCAACGGCGACAAGCGACGCGACTTGACGGACAAGAGAAAAGCCCAGTTCGCCAGGATTGGGTCGCGATTCACACCTCGTCGCCAAACAACCCGAATACCGGACACATCCAAACGACCCTCATACCCACTATTCACCCACGCACCCGGCACCTCAACAATTTGCCCTTCTCGCGTTGTTTGCCGACAGAAGGCCTCTCCCTGCGCTGCGAGATCGCCAAATCCTTCTCCACCCACCACCTCTGGACGAGAAGCAGCGCTTCGTTCGCTACAACGAGTCTCCAGTCAGGTCCCCCGCGCCAATGAGTTTGAGATAGGCCTGACTCAACAGCCTCTCACTCATTGCGCAAAATGGACCGATCAAAGCCCCAGGCTTTCCTGTCGAGCTACGCGCCGCGCCTGCGTTCCTACAACAACTCGCTCCTAACTCCCGTCCTTCCTAGTGCGCCAGTAGCACCCCTATCAAGGACTACCAAGCGAGGCACGACCATCATTAACTACGCCGAGGATGGATATGATGATCTCGAGTACGATAGCGATGATCGCCGACGGCCCACAGGACTGCGCAGTTTGCGCAAGGAGGACTCAGCTTCCAGGCAAGACCTTGCCGACAAGGCTGGCAAGGATACCAGACGTCCGGTCGACGTTCAGGGAATATGGCGCGACTGGATAGGAAAGACGCGATATGTCAGGACGGACCAGCAGAATGCCGCCCAGGCCAGCCTGCCCCTGACGCTGATTCCCATCCGAATCGACCTCGACATTCCCTCCTTCATCCCCCAGGCGCCATACCCCCCGCCAAACCCAAATTCCACCGATATTACTCTACCACAATATCGGCCGCAAGAGCCAACAGTACCTTACAAGCTTCGGGACATCTTTTGCTGGAACCTGCATGAGACCCTCATCACGACCGACCAGTTCGCTCAGACCCTGGTGCAGGACCTTGACCTCCCTAACCGTCAACACGCCGTTGCAGAAATCAGCAAGCAGATCCGCACGCAACTAGAAGAGTACTCGGGAGTTGCTCTTCATCCCCTCTTCCACGCAGAGACACAACAGGCACAGCAACCGACACAGACGTTAACGAGCGGGAATGGGACTTCCAACGGACTTGTCAAGGCGCAATCCGCCGACTCTCCTGCTTCCTTACCAAGGGCAACATCGAGACCAGATACTCCTGCGCAGACCGGAGGGGCCGCAACACCCTCCCAAGCCCCCACAGCCGACACCCCCAAGGTGACGGCGGAAGCGACGCCAATCTTGCCAGGCTCTGATGATTTCAACCCCGACGACACGTACCGATGCATCATTAATCTGAATCTGAATCTCTCCTCTACGCTGTATACTGACAAATTCGAGTGGTCTCTGCTGCATCCACCCGGAACGGCGGAGGCGTTCGCCAAAATGACCTGCGCCGATTTAGGTTTGACAGGCGAGTGGATTCCGGCAATGACACACGCCATCTACGAAGCGGTACTGCGCCTGAAGAAGGAAGCGTGTGAGGCCGGCGGGATCGTCGCGGGATGGGGCGGGCTGCAGCAGGAACTTCCCAACGACGCCGCCCACGGCACGGAGGCCGGCTGGAGATACGACCCGGACCACCTTGCAGACGACTGGGAACCCAAGGTTGAAATCCTCAGCAAGGAAGAGATGGAGAAACGCGAGGGTGACCGCGAGAGGCAAGTCCGCCGCTTGCGACGAGAGACTGCCCGCTTCAGTTCCACGACTGGCCTGCTGGGCGGTACACCCATGGGCACAGTGGACGTCGAGGAGGAGAGGATGGGACGCGGCGAGCGGTCCAAGAAGAAGCGCCGGTTCAGGAGTCTGAGTCCGCTGGGCCGATCCGGGACTCCCGGTGGCCGTGGAACCCCAGACGCCGGCGGCTACGGCGGTGGTGGTTCGCTTGCCGATGCAGAGCGGCTGTCGTGGCGCTGCTCGCATTGTCGCATTTGGGGTTCTGGTGTCTGGGCCGTACGAGATGGCCCTGCCGGACCTAGAGTAAGTCTCTCTTCCTTTCGAGAAATACCCTCGTCCCCTTTTCTGTCTGCCCCTGCTCGTGAATTGAGACTAACCTCCTCTTTCAGACTCTATGTGCCAATTGTGGTTACATGTACGAACATGACCGGAAACTGCCCCGCCAGACAAAGAATTTACATATGCAGGATATCCGTGTCATCTAGAAAGGAGGCGAATCCAAAATAAAAAAGATGTAAAAAAAAAAGAGATCCGAGGAGAAGAACAAAGGAAAGAGCACTCAATGGGATGGGACACGCGGTGCATGTTGGAAGGATGGATTCCGGAGAAAACAGGGGGGGGGAGCGTGCCAGCGAAGCGCTCCCAGGCTCAACTGGAATTCCCATGCGATTCCCCCTTTTGAACACTGACCATTTCGTGGAGTTGACTGACATGGGATGCTGGCGAGCTTTCTTGTAACTTAGGTTCTTTTTCTTTTTTCTTTTCGTCCTGTTTCCCTCCTGGGTTTTGTCCCTTTTCCTTTTCACTTTTATTTTTTTTACTCGGGTATCGAAACTATGGTTGAGGTAGATGAAGAGATCAGGCGTCCCGGTAATATGAAATCGCGGTGGGTACACATTGCTGCCGTTTCTCTTTTTACTCCTTTCGCGCCCGGATGCATGCTGTGGTGATGGGGAACGGCCAGGCCTGGGGAACGTGTATAGATAATCAAAACTAAGTGTAAGATGTCATGGGTAGCTCTAAAAGATCTCGCATTGGGCATACTGTGAAAAAAGGTTTCGAATCGAGTAAGAATGAAGAGTGTATAAAATCTCACCGATGGGTATAGAAGTCTGCAAACACTATCCTTTATAACCTATTTGTGCCCGCCCTGTGCAATGAAACCTCCCATTTATCAAGCCTAGCCAAGATGCACCGTTGCCCGTCCCATCATAATAAATCAAGAAAAAAAAACGATAGCAAGTAAATCCTAAAAGCTCTTCATTGTCTCCCTCCACGCATCATCTGCGCCACATTCACGCCAACCCACCTCATCTCTCTTGCTTGTTGCTGCTGCGACTGCGGCGACTGCTGCTGTAGATTTTGTGCGGCCATTGGTATTTGACCATTTGTCTGGAAGTGACTTGGAGGTTGGTCAAGCACAACTTCCTGTGCATCCCTTTGCATGGCAAGTCGCTTGATAGTATCTGTTGAGATTCCCTCAAAGCTGCGCCTCAGCATCGCAGACTCCTCCCACCTTTCGCCAAACTTTCCTAGTGTGTGACCTACACGTTCCAGACAGTACAGACTCCTGCGAAGGTTATCTGGCCTTGTCATCCCGTGATTCAATGCATATCTTGGAACGGGGGGAGGCGGGGGACCTCCAGGACGTTGCATCGGCACTGGCACTTGCGCACCAGTCAGAAGCATGTTTTCAGCAGCCCAGAGAACGGCAAGAAGCTGGGTGGCCATGAAATACACTTTGAGAGCGTCGTGATAAGTGTAGAAGGCGCTTGTCCATCCATTTTGCACAATGGTGTGCATGGTATCAAGATAGGCAATCGAATATTCAAAGATGATAGTTCGGTGGTAGTCGCTGATCTGAGGGACTCTCCCTGAAGGAGAGATACAGTACACATAACTGTACCTAAGTTCTTGCTCAAACATCTGTCTGATAGCTGGCGAGAGCGTTGCGGGCAGCGACTCCCCCCATTCGCGCATTTCCAAGCACATTTGCCAGACATAGCCCATAGGGTCTTGCAGCGGGTTTCCTGAGTGGGATTGGTAGAGCTCTTGATACCAGAATGATTGTGCGCGCCGGAGTTGAAAGAGCAGCAATGCAGAGTCAAATGATTGCGGCGTCGCAATTGCCACCTGCGAAGAGTCCTTCATAGAGGTTGCGGGAAATGCGACATTTGTGGCATCGTCAGTAAAGGAGAATGTTCGAGCGTGAACCATGCTTATTGCACTTCAGCCATGTTAGCATGAAATTTCAATCATCTCCAGGCCAAGAAACAGGTTAAGGATGGGGGCTTACCGGTCCAGACTGTATACTGAGTAGAATATCTTGCGGCGCATGTCCAGAGCAGCTTTGTCGCTCAATGAGGACAGTGGAGGGTCTTGATGAAGGCCCAAGTCAACAACTGCTCGAGAGGTGAAGCCGATCAAATGCCAGCTATCGAAGTGCGCTGGGTCAAGCATCGAGTACTGCGTTAATAGCAGCAAAGACTGTATTTGGGTAACGAAGCCTGGAGCAAGCGCATTCTCTGCAAATTCCAAAGCTTTTGAAATAT